TGTGTGTGTGTGTGTGTGTGTGTGTGTGTGTGTGTGTGTGTGTGTGTGTGTGTGTGTGTGTGTGTGTTTTAAATACATACTTCAAACAAGTGTATTTTTACTTCTTGTTGCTTTTCTTTGTCAGTTTGAGCCTTACCTCTGAGGGATCGCTGGGGGGCTCCGTTATGGCGCACACGTGGCTCCGTTGGGCTCCCATTGAGCTCCAGCCGGCCCTTCTTCCCTGGTGGCGGGAGWCCACCGAGGTTAGGACTGCCTCCCCTTTGCTCGGGGCTGCCCTGTGGGACAAGATTGTCCCCTCCTCGCTCCATGCTCCTCCACAGCACCAGAGGAGATCCAGCCAGAGGGAATGAGTCTGATGAGAATAAAAACATGAACACAAAGAAATCAACAGTGCAGTACTGTGATATGTTCTGAAAATATTTTATATAATAATCTTTTTTTATTCTACAAATAAAATTTTGTTGAATTGTACAAAAGACGATGGCCTATCTTATAAAAGAGCAATGAAAAATATAAATATCGTAGACTTTTGTGTATCTAACGACTTACTCATTAAAATAAAGGCTACAGATTTAGTAAAGCTTAATGTTGCTAAGATAAGGTTTAAGATTAAAACCAATATGGTRCCTAATTTTGTCAAGAAGTTATTCTCAACCAAATGACTTGTCTTATTGTGTAAATGTACAGTATGTGTGCCAAGCATAGATAGACTGGATTTATGCACATAGTGTTGGGGCTGCTAAATTTATCAGTCCACCAGATCAGTATGTCTAGTCAGTCAAATGTTTGCTTATTTCCCAGTGGAATGAGCACAGTTTCCCTGTTAAAGATGTGATATACAGTAATATTGGTAGCAGTAGTATTCATATTTTTATTTCAAGTTGCATCTCATTTTTAAATAAAAGTAAATCATGGTTTTATATTTTTGTTTTAATATTGCGAAACTGTGATTTATTTTTGCCAAAAATGAAATTGTCAGAATCTCATACTGGCTAATGGTGAGTTAGTGACTTTCTTCATATTGTCATTAAAAAAACAGAGCAAACCATTTATAGTTAGATATTTAGCCCAGACAGTATTACTGAGAGACCCTGTGCAGAAAGGCACCAGAGAAAATGAGGAGTAATTCATGAGTGCTTAAGTATAAAAACCTCCACAGTACTTGTTTAAAAACTACAACTATTTCACTATTTCTCCAACATTTCTGCAGCTCCAACTGCCAGAACACTCAAAAACCAGACACATTTTCCCTCTTTTTCTCCTCTTCTTGTTTTCTCTACCTTCCGCATACTCATTCTTACACAACCACGGCACAGAAAAGTGTCACAAAAACACAAACAAAGCCCCATAATCTGAGAAGCATTTGTAGCTTGATAATAACGTCAAAACGTTTGATAAATTAAAGACATTTGCTTCCTTGTAAAACACGTGGGAGAGCAAAGAGGCTAAAAATGCAAGAGGCTCAGTTTAATAAAAGACAAAACAAGTTCAAGGAGTTGAGCTGAGCCAAAAGCAGTGGACAGTTCTAACTCACAGTGTGAGGACTGAGAAGAATGAAAGAGAGGCAAACAAATTCAACCCATAAAAATGTTAAAGCCTGGTAAGAAAAAAACTGCTAAATACAATAATTCACTGTTTTTGTTTACATTTTGTCACTTAAACTGCTGATTAGTGAGGCAGAAACTGGTCCTGAAGGAACAAGCGGGTATTTAAGTCTTATTATAAAATAATCCTCTAAAGAATTCAGCTGCATCAGCAGCAAGTCTGGTCATGTTTTAGCAGTTCATGATAGCCATCAAAGCCTTTCCTAGCCGACATCTCCTCATCTCACCTGGGACACAAACAGAAGGGAGTCATCTTCCCCCAACACGTCCGGCTTCTGCGTTTCTGTTGGGATTTTACCCAGAACATAAAGAGACTTATCAGGCCCCACACTTTTGTTATGGTGGTAAGTGATCACCTGATTGTGAGGGGTCAGAAGGTGTGTTTATCATCAAATTATTTCATGAACCAATAATCATTTCTTCCATGTTCCAAAAGCTAATTTGAATCTTGGAGAGGAACGTGCATTTCTGATTGGCCTTTGGACTTAAAACAGTTCCCAGTTCACAGTCTGTTTTTAAATCCCGTCTTACAACTTGATTCTTAGACTAAACTTAGATTTTTGTACGACATGGCAGCTCTTTCTTTGTTTTACTTTTGCAGTCAGATATTCAACCCAACCAGGCCCTAAATTAATAGTGCCAGAGAGAAGCTGCTGACTGATCCATATAAATGTAAAAAATTTTATGGCTAATATACTGTAAATCTTCACAGTAAAATAATTTTGAGTCCCAAGCTTGAATGGCTTGTACTATGATGGTAAAAGAAGAATAAAAATAAAGAGCAACAAAATAAACTTTTTTTGTTCTAAACACAATTATTTTATTTCTTTCTGGACAGATATGTAAATCAGGTTAAGTAGTTATTTAGTGATTCGAAGTGACTGCCATAAGCTGTGGAAACACATTCTGTTTAATTTACAGCAAAATACAAACACAAGTTCAAAGGAATTTCTTGTTAACTTAATAATCATTCGTACAAAATTTCATAGTTAACAAAGCAAATTTTAAAGAAAGGAACACATTTTGTAAGATTTCTGTTTTAATTTATAAAGTAAATGT